TTTAATTGTAATTATTGGGTCATCATATGTTTGGGTGCACAAAGTAATCAAGACTATCTTCTTGTAACAATTGAATTATTAAGATCAATGGAATTTTGTTAATGGTGGTGCATGTTGTTTGGCTGTCAAGAAGGGAACATGGTGGTGCGTTGGTGGGTGTTGGGTTTGTTTCACTTTTTTTTTTTTCTTTAGATTTAAACAAGGGGAAAAGAGAAAGTTCGACGAGAATTCAAAAAAGTGAAGTATATTCATAAGATTGTAGGATGTTAATAAAAAAAAATCTTAAAAGAATATATATTAAATTAGTTATATTAGTGAACCTCGTTATTAGTACTGAAAAGAAAAACCTATCAAAGCCATACGATGTATTCATGATGTCTAGTCTATATTTTTCTTGGGTTTGCCTCATTGAAGTAACACGTGTTTGGATGAGAGAGAAAAATAGAATTTGATAGTGTTCTGAGTTGTAAGTAACGATTATTGTTTCTTGAGTTTGACCTAGCTATTTATAGGAAAAAGCCCTAGCAGACAACTAGGAGGGGAGGTTGCGTAGCATACTAAGCAGTCCTTAAGAGCACTTCCATTGGAAGCAAAAGAGGCCAGCACCCAGTGGAAAAAACAGGTTCGGACTTAGCCAATCCACTCCAGCCCGTGGAATAGACTGGCACCCAGCCTAAGCCACTCTGTAGGCCAGCCTAAAATCGATTGACCAAGGGACCGGCCTGTTTGTTTTTTTGAGCTTGGTGCGTGGGCGCGAGTAGCAGACAAGAAATCAGAGGCAGGGCCTGCTGGCAGGTGCACTCAAATGTCACTCGGGCTTGGCGACGTGGCCCACTCTATGTCGTTGGATTTCCAATGGCTAGTTTTTCTAGACCGTTGGATTTCCAACGGTAAAAAAAATTTGAATTTCACTTTTAAACTAGACCGTCTGATCACAGATCAATGGTCCATGTTTTTTTCCCCCAAAAATAAAATAAAAAAAGGGCCTAACGGTCAGAATTATGACCTTTAGCCACGTGGTAGCTCGTTGGCTATTGGATTTGAATATTTTTCAAATCCAACGGTCCAAATTAATTAACAACATTAAAATTTATTAAAAATTATGAATTTTTTTTTAAATACAAAAAAATTTTAAAAATTATTTATTATTTTATAAAAAATTAATAATATTTTAAATGGGTTAGGTGCCAACACATTTTGTAGGAGTGGATATCGTTTGTGCCAGCGCATTGTTTTAAGGGTGGAGATGCTTTGGCCTATTACTATTCATTGGGGTCTATTACTGTTCACTGAGTGGATAAATGGGTTGGGTGTTGACGCAAAGTCTTTAGGGGTGGAATTGCTCTAATGATGCAGGTTAGTCTTTACAGTCTTGCAAGTCATAGTTTTGAAGGTCATTATTGGTTAAAACACAGTTCTGCCGGACACTCAAGGAGAGACTACGGAGAGTTGGTGCCCTACCATCACTAGACCAGGCATGCCCAATAGCAGGCAGCCCAAAGAGTTCATGGTTCGTTCGTGACATAAAAACCCAATTACTTTAGAGCAGATTGTGTCATATTCCTTAGGGACTAATTTGTGGTATACTCACAATGTCAAAGGTAGACCCGTCATATAAAACATATAGTTCACATATCATTCTCCTATTAAATATGATTAGTTTATGTCTCCACAAACACTACTTTCCTTGTTCATATTAAAACCCGTGACGAATTATTCCTAGGATATGTTATAAAGATATACACTCCTATACTCCTCGTGATAAAAAAATATATTTGGATGAAGCCAATGACCCAATCTTCTCAGATTCATTTCATGCGTCTTTTTTCCTCCACAGATTTTTATTTTGTGAGTCACGAGGGTTGCCTATGATTGACATGGTTGTGGGTTGTGACCTAATTAAGCAATAAAAAATCTTATATGGCTATGTTGTTCTGGAGAGTTGGATTGATATCAGCTCCAGATATGGTGGAGATAGTGTGTTTCTTCACGAGAGATTTTAATTTGAAATAAATCAGTTCAGAAAACGAATATCTTTGAAGGAAACTTAAGAGTCTTTACAGTGGCTAAAGATGGCCCTCAAGAATATTTTGATAACTTTTTTAGATTTGCCATCGAAGATTCAAAATAACCACCCAAGCTGGACAATTTGCAATGCCAATCACCCCAAGAATTATTTTGGTGGAGATAGTGCTCCTAATAAGTCAACTACACAAACCAATGAACTGGAGGGATACTTTTATTTCATCAAATTTATATCACATCTCAATCGTTTATTAGATAAATAGTATTATTTTTTGAACTCGTGGTAAATAGTTATTAGAGAGTAATGTCATTGAGATTAAATATTGGTTGTATAAGAAAATATATTCATGAATTGTGAATTTGAAGTGTCCTATTTGGACACCCAAACCAGCGTAAAATGATGCAGTACTTGTCTTTTATAGAAATTAGTTTAGAGTTTAGAGTTAAACATTTTTAGTTTATAGTTTACATTGAAAGGACAATGGATGTTTACATGATAGGGAGACCACCACGGTAGTATACATCAGCAAATGGTGTGTATATGACATGTCAATTAATGAGTTGGTCACATTGGATGTTGATCATATGACCTATCTAGCATTACTAAAAAAATTTGTATGTAAACTAAAATCAATGTAATTTAACACATAAAATAGAAGTACAAGATCCAAAGTTAACGATGCATTAGAGGGGGGATTTTATAAGGTAATACAAATATACTAAGAAATCATTAACAATATATATAGAACAAACGTGCTAAACGTAACCAAGAAGTCACACATGCTAAAAAGACTATGTGATTTCAAAATTACAAACTTGTCGTGAATACAATATAATATTGCATTAGAGGTTAAATTATGTGGATTCTATGGTTGCAACCTAATGACTGACAAAGGAATGTATCAAGGGTAAGTAAAAGCATATGATGAAGCTTTCATGTCCCCCTCAGTTCAAGTATTTCAGTGTTGGAAACTTGGTCATTTTCTGCACTCATTATTTGCAGAAGAGTCCTACTCTAAATGTGGAACAGATTTTCATGGTGGTGCGCGAGACACGCAAGGGATGTGGCTTATTGCAGGTCAACATTATATTTATAGGTGGATATTGCCTTTTCCGTGGCCTGGATTTATAAAGGTTCAGCTTTGTCATAATTGGATTGCATACTATTATATTAAATTTATTTGTCGACCAATATAATGTGGAAAGAATTATCTACATATGATGTCATCCTTAATGCATGCTTATGCCGAATCAGGGGTAGCGACTTTCGATTTTTTATTAACATTCGTTATTCATTTCGTTGCAAAATGGTTAATTTGCAGTGTCAGATGTTACTATAAACTTATTGGTGAAAATTGCTAATAATTTAAAATAAATTTATGAAAGATGACATTTGTGGTATCCCTAATTTTTTGTATTTGGCATATACCTTTCATTTTGGCCGGCGATCCAGCTTTTACTTGGTGTAATTTGCCTATGTTGTTTCAATATCACAATCATGTCATTCATCGATGTTCTTCAATACGATAAGATGACGCCATCCTTTGTATGTAATAAGCTTTTTGGTGCTTGTGCCAACCGATCAGCTGGCAGAAGCACAAGTACAATATTCAAGAAAGAAAATAGCATGATTTAAGGCTTAATAATTTTGAAGGAGAGACGTTAAGGAGGTTTTTTTTTTAAAGTGAAATTTTTTATGAATTTTTTGTTATCTTGCTGTTTAACGTTAATTCTCGTGTTAATATTATAAAATATTATGCAAAAACATGAGGTGACAAATAGTTCATGAAAAATCTCATTTTTGAAAGAAATCTCCTTAGCATTTCTCATTTTGAAAACCAAACTTTTATTGATATATGAAGAAAATTTGGGTTCTACCATAAAACTAATTGACAATATGAGTAGTAACCTAACTACCTTTAAGGTCATGCAAAATTCCTCCTCCGATCAATATGTGATTCATTCTCAACAATATAATTGGATATGGGCTGCACTCTATAGCTAATTCATCAAATGTGAAAGATCTGTCACACAACTTCTGTAAATACATTGTAGAAATAAGAGAATATGCTAATGTTAGTCGTATGCGAGCGCATGACGTTAGCATAATATCCATTAATGTTTGTAGTGCTTATAGGTATCGTTTGGTATGAAGACAGGACGGGAAGGAACGGAATAGGACGGGATGGGACGGGACAGGACGGAAAGGAACGGAGCGGGAGCAAAGATGCCCTCGGATGGAAACAAGGAGGAAGAAGAAGGAGACGGAGAGGTTATAATTTTGTGTTCCACGGATGTGGAACGAGTTGTTCCAGGGGGGTGAGGTGGAACGAAAATTCACCCAAAACTCGTCCCGTGGAACAGCTCGTTCCACCCGTTTTAGGTGCACCAAATGTGGGACGGAACGTCTTGTCCCACTCTGTTCCGTCCCGTCCTACGTACCAAACGGTACCATAGTGAATGACACACCCGTCAATAATTGTGATTAGCATCATGTGCTCAAGTACATTGAGTTATAGTATAACTCATGAAATTGAACATAAGAAGTAAATTTTTAGCGAGAAAAATTTTCATGTAATGAGTTTCATATTTTTGTATTTTTTTACAATATTTATTACGTGACAAATCGTATTATCAGTGTCGTAGAAATATATAGGGTATGAAAAACCCGATGGCCATGAAAGACAAAAGAAACCGAGCAGCCTTAAAATTAACTCATTAATTAGATCTGTGAGTCGGTGACATTGGGCAAATGAAGATATTGCAAAAGTGAATAGCAAAATGTGGTTACAGGATAAATATTATCTGGCTCATAGACTCCAAGTCAGTCCAACAGTCAACCCAAAGATTAAAAGCCAACTGGATTACACTAATCAAAGCAGTCATAGTTGATTAGAGAACACTTTAATCGGGATTATTATAAAATAAATCCTTAAATAAAGGCCAACTTTCCCACTTGATCACTCACTAGGCTTTATTTATACTACACCCCCTTTGGCCTTTTGCACTAGAAACTAGAAAGAAAATGAACCTCTTCCAATATCTGAATCAAAACCAATCCAAAAACCAGTCTCCAAATTTCCTTTTCCTCGGATCTTCACCAAAAAGTTAAAACAAATTTTTGCTAGCCACACCTGCTAAATTTCCTTTGCAGTTTATCCCGACCAAAAACAGTGCACCCCTATACCGACACCGCGAAAAATGAGCACCAAGAGAGGGAGTGAAGCATTTCGATTTGCAATCCACCTGCTTCAAGGAAGATGGTTCTCAGTTTTTGCCTCGTTTCTCATCATGGCAGGAGCTGGAGCTACTTACCTCTTTGGTGTCTACTCCAAGCAGATCAAGTCCTCTCTTGGCTATGACCAAACCACCCTCAACCTGCTAGGGTCTTTCAAGGACCTTGGAGCAAATGTTGGTGTCCTCTCAGGGCTCATTGGTGAAGTCACCCCAACATGGTTTGTACTCCTCATTGGCTCAGCCATGAACTTTACGGGCTACTTCATGATTTGGCTTGCTGTCACTGCCAAAATCCCAAAACCTAAAGTTTGGCATATGTGCCTCTACATCTGCATTGGAGCCAACTCTCAGAATTTTGCAAACACTGGAGCTCTTGTCACATGTGTCAAGAATTTCCCGGCTAGTCGCGGCGTTATGCTGGGATTGTTAAAGGGGTTTACTGGACTCAGTGGAGCTATGTTCACCCAAATTTACTTGGCGGTTTACGGAAACAATTCGAAATCTATGATTCTTCTCATTGCTTGGCTTCCTGCTGCGCTATCGGTAGTTTTTGTGTACACCATTAGGCCAATGAAGCTTGTTAGGCAACCCAATGAGCTTAGAGTGTTTTACCATTTCCTCTATGTCTCAATTGGTCTTGCTGTTTTCCTCATGGCTATGATTATACTTCAAAAGCAGATTAATTTCTCACAAGCTGCTTATGCTGGAAGTGTTACCGTGGTTTGTTTTTTCCTTTTCGTCCCTCTTGGGATTGCAATTAGAGAGGAGTTAATCCTCTGGAATCTCATGAAGCAACCTGTTGATCCTCCAACCGAGTTAACCGTTGAGAAACTTCCGGCACAAGCAATTGAAGCGAAAGATGAGCAAGAAAAGAAAACAAATATTTCTTGTTTTGCTGATGTATTCAACAAACCAAAAAGAGGAGAGGACTACACAATCTTACAAGCATTGCTAAGCGTCGACATGCTCATATTGTTCATCGCAACACTATGTGGACTCGGGTCAAGTTTGACAGCAGTAGACAATTTGGGGCAGATTGGCGAGTCTCTTGGATACCCAACAAAAACAATAAGCTCATTTGTGTCATTAGTGAGCATATGGAACTACTTTGGGAGGGTTTTTTCGGGGTTTGTCTCCGAAAGCCTATTAGTAAAATGGAAAGTCCCCAGACCCCTAATGATGACTCTTGTTCTTCTTCTGTCCTGCGTCGGCCACCTCCTCATTGCATTTCCAGCCCCGGGATCGGTCTACGTGGCATCCGTGATCATCGGATTTTCTTTCGGTGCCCAATTGCCATTGCTTTTCGCAATCATTTCCGAGCTCTTTGGGCTCAAGTACTACTCTACATTGTTCAATTGTGGACAGCTTGCCAGCCCCCTCGGGTCCTATATTCTGAATGTGAAGGTCACAGGAATGCTGTATGACAGAGAGGCATTGAAGGAGTTGGCAAAGAGTGGGAGGGATCGGTCTTCAGTGAAGGAGCTGATTTGTCTTGGGAGCCAATGTTATAGGTTGGCTTTCTCAATTTTGGCTGCTGTAACATTCTTTGGTGCAGTTGTTTCATTGATGTTGGTGGTGAGGACAAGAGAGTTTTACAAAGGTGATATTTATAAGAAGTTTAGAGACGAAGCAGAGGATTCATAGATTTTGCTTTCTCTTGCATTGGTGAACATTTGGAGTTTGATCTGTTATGAACTAAGAATTGTTGGAATAGAGATTCTTGAGATGCATGAAGCGGGCCAAGAAGCACTTGGACATTTTCCTGGTGAACAATAAAGCTTGTCAGGATACATGTACTACTACTACTGAAAAGATGTATTTTGTAAGCCAATGGCAATTGCTTTATGATTCATATGTGGGTTTCTCACCAGTGGTTTCTTCACTTACAATTGGCCCATTTTTATTTCTTTTACCATGTAGCCGGTTTTGCCGGTCGAGGGCAGGTGTAGTTGGTGTCCGAAAAATATTTATTACTGTTAATTTGAACCACATGTTCTAATAAAAATTAACGTAGTCAGTCGTATAGATTTACGCTTAAGTAGTAAATTTTCCTGTCTTACTTGACAAAAGAACATTTCTCTTAGTTTATGTTTGTCGACACTAAGAGTTTTGCAATTGTTGTTATTAAAAGAAAGTTTTAAAAATTGTCCAAGAGAGACCTTATACATTGCCAACTGGTTGGTGGGTATTGCCCTTCCAAGCATGGATTTGATTTGCATAGGTAAATTATCATCAGTTTTGTCATAAGTTTGATCTCCTTCAACTATGTTATGCCATCCTTTCTTTGTTTTCTTAATTACGGTACACATTGACGTGGTTGTAAATGTATATATATCTCTCTCTTTTGGTTAGTAAACCACAACACTTTTGTCACCTAATTCTTCAGTTTGCAAAATATATATAGACAGACTTGATGTGTAAACTGTCGGAAGACTAATTCTCCGTGCACATCTAGAACCTCACAGGCTGTCGGGTTGGCTACAGTATGTCGAGTTGCCCCTTGGTTTTCGCCTCCCATGACCTAGAGCCGAAAATGATAGCTCTAAAGACCTAACTAGAATATTTGAACTTTGGAAAAACTTGTGTTTCTTATTGTTTCTCGCTTCCTCAAAGCCTCCTTATATAGTGGGAAGAGTGTACAAGGACTGAAAAGCCCATGAAAATCCCAAGTATATTCTAATATAAATATCTCTTGATTTTCATCTAATTATCACATAGATAATTAGGAGGTTAATATCCTCATGTGGGTGGAATATCCTTTGATATTTATTTATCCCATAAGATTTGGACATATCAGATCGCCATCCATTTACCACAAATCCAAGTCAGTGTAGGTAATTTCATTAGCTCCACCAACATCTATTTTCTCTCTTTTTTTACCCAAACAATAGAGTGGTATTTTATTGATTTTTACAAGTAAATAAAAAGGTGTCAATTGATTACATTCTTCCATTAATCAAAGTTGATATGTAGTGAATTAGCACAGACAAACAATTTAGAGTAAACCCCTATATGGCCACCGCAAACACAAACCTACAAAACCGTCACCAATATAGACTTGTCATAAAAAACGATAGATCCAACAATCCTATATCGACAACACATTGGTCACCACTAAAATGTGAGGCCACATAAAGTTATTGTCGCAGGGTGCAAGACTAAATCATCGTTGAAAGACTAGACCACATAACTCATTGCTCAATAGCGAAGACTACATCCAGCCATCACAGAAACGGGACCACAACACTCACTAAGCGAGACGACAAAACTACACTACTCCGATAAAGACTCACTGGTTGGCTCGTCTATGTGAATGACAAAGACACCCTAGCCAAGGTAGTCTCAATTGCGATTTACATGAATGTGAATATGATATATATCTATTTGTAGCTGTCCCCAATTTGGCGCGTAGCTTTGTTATGGGTGCAATATCACTTTTTGTAAATGTCCTATTGTTTGTCAAAAAAAAAAAAAAATAAATAAAAATAAAAATTAAACATTCTAATCAAGTCGTATAAGTTGCTATACGCTGATCAACGACTTGATCCTATGCATTTCAAATATAAATCATGGCCGGAATAACAACAATAAACAAAAAAAATAACAATAACAATAAACCAACAATAATAAATCTTATTCATAGACCAGCAACAACAGGAATTCAACAACAATAAACGCTGCTAATAGATATCAAGATGTGTGAAACCGAACAAATTAAAAAACAAAAACAAAATAAAAAATGGAATCCTCGGAAGCTTCTAATGCAAAGTACAAGTAGAATAAACCATCATCGAATTCGAACAACAAATCCACAGCACTCCGGAGCACATTTAGCAAGCCAAATCCGTCAAGTGGTTCATTTTGATGGGGGTGGGGAGAAGAACGGAATTGATGGAATACTAGAGATTGAAGGGATTGTTGTTGGAAAAGTTGGGAGTGCTGGCAATGGAGGTAGTGTCACCTTTGGGATTGTGGGCATTGTAGGCAGTGCTGGTTGTGGTAAAGTTGGGATTTGGGTCCTCGGGAGTGGTGGTAGAGTTGGGTTAGTCGGGAGGGTAGGCAATTGGGTAGAGGGCAACGGCGGCAATGTGGCCTTGGGCAGCGTTGGTACTGAGGACATTGGCGGCAATGTGGGCAATGTTGGCTTCGGCAGAGACGGAATGGTAGGCACAGTGAAGCTCGGTGGTGGAGCTCCCGGCGTGGCCAAAAGGTTTCGAGCTGCAAGGCTGAAATGGGTGCTTGAGAGTGACAACACCATGGACAAAGACAAAATGAAGAAAAGCTTGGGAAAGGCCATGATCGAGTCTCTGAAATGTTTTCTTCTTTTTCCGTTTGGTTACACTCTTTGAAATGTTTTTGGTTTGTGGAGAGGGAAAGGGTCTCCATTGGTTTTATAGACAATATGTGTGCAAAGAGTGCGAGGACTTGGAATTTTTGACATGGGGGTTTGATGATTTGTGGTTGTAGGAAGCATGAAAAGCCATTGGTTGGTTCACCTCCCTAACTTAACTAGTTCATCAAAGTCAATACTTGGTTCATCTAAGGTATGCTGACAGACTATTGACTTAACCAAGGACCAGACAAATTAAGTATGAAGTGGGACCCACATCAACTTATGTTTGAAACGTATGCTACATTGAGCTACATGTACCATGAGTCCATGACCCTATATTAGTAGATCATTAAGGGTTTATCTCTTTAGAAGTGATAGAATGTTATTTTTAAAATGTGATCTCTGTAGCATTTTTATGATTTTAAATATATTCATGGTACGTTTAAGTAAATTTCCTTATTGTTATCCAATTTTCTTATTATGTATTGGTGAAAGAATTTACATGTATTTTCCAACCAAGTTTGCATTTTAGGTAAGTAAATTCAAAAACAAGACTTGTAGCTCAAATGGTTGAAAATATTTACCACGTCATCGAGATTTGTAGCTCAAGTGATTGATAATATTTACCACAACATCTGATCAGGTCCCCTCCCCCTTGTATAAAACAAACCATTGAAGCTGCTATACAGGGAAACAGTTGCAGTTAGGTTGCCTGTGTCAAAGCTAAAAGACTTGACTAAAAATTTGAAAATAGTTAACACTCAAAAATTCATCTGCATTCATCGTTTTTATTTTTTATTATTATTAATTTTTATGCTAGGAAGGAGCGCAAAATGAACGAATAATTAAACCATGAGGTAGAGGGTGGAGAGCAAATGGTTCTTGTACTTAATAGAGTTTAAATAATTCTAATATATTTGAATCAATTGAGTAATATCTTATATTTTTATTCATTATTCGAACTGATGAACTTAATTAAATAGTTATACAAATGAAAAGAAAACAGCTTACATAAATTCACATAACAAGATTAATTCTTACTTTTTATGTATAAGACAGTTGGATAGTTAAATGGAAATAAACATATACATAAGAGATCGTTTTTTCCAAAATTGGTTTATTAGTTATTGTGCTTAAAAGAGCGACCCTATTGAGTTTTCACTATCATTTTTGGTATTGGCATAACAGTGGGTTGAGCAAAAATGAGTGGATGTTTAGAAACACGAAGATATGTGAAGAGAGTTTTTATTTTGGATCAAATTGTAAGGATTAGTTAACGAAAGAATTGAACTACATGAACATAATTGAAATTAATCATGGTCAAAACTACATGATAATTGGATTCCCCTTGTCAAAATTTAAGGAAAAAAGATGCCTAGAGCTAGAGGTATGGCCCTGAAATGTACTCCACATTGCATTGCATCCGGCCGCCAGTCTCACCACCGTCGTCGATTGGAGGATGAAGCCTTCCTCACTGTCTCTCTTGCCTTTTTTCCCTCTTCAAAATTCCTAGATCTTGCGTCCTTAAACTTCTTATGCATATCACTTTTATAAAACTTGGTAATTCGCCTAGCCAGAACAAACGAAGCTAGAGCTCTCAAAATTACGAAAGCAGTCACAACTATAAAAGCAACTCTATATCATGTCTGATTGTACATCGTTCTGGTCAGTTTGTTGTTCAGAACTTACACTCCAATTGAGGTTGCAATTTGTGCATAGCTCATCAATGTGGAGTAGTACTTGAGGCCGAAGATCTTGGAAACGATTGTGACAAGCAGTGTCGCTTGACCCCCGTAAGAAAACCCGATGATCACTGTGGCAAGTTAGACTCTGTTATAGTGATGATCGCTATGGCCGCAGATCTTGGATTTTCCTTTCTAATTGGAATAGTGATGATTAAAGAAGCTAAAATTCAGTCATCAAAGTGTTGATAAGAATTGCTTATGGTTTGTTGTGCTGTTTTGTAATTGGTTAGTTTGGTTAAGGGTATAAGTGTAATATGTTAGAATACCCAATACTATATATAACAAACTCTGCTGTAATTATTAATCACATTGAATGAAAGGAAAGTCTTCAGATTCTATATGGTATCACTCCCTTCTTGCCTCACGGCTTCTTCTCTCTCGATCCTCCCGATCTTCTTCGCTTCTGCTCTCAATTTTTGATCTTTCTTTCCAATTTCTGCTGTGATTCTTCTCTGTTTTTCTTCGATTGCAACTTCTGTGTAGTTGCCTGGTGTATTTCTCTGCATTTCGTTGTGGCATCACTGTCCGATTCGTCTTCTCCCGTTGAGTCGGTGCAAGCTCCAAATCCTAATTTCTCCAATTCTGGAATGTCTTCGAATTCATATGCTTCTCTTACAATCCAAAACATCGACAATATGATACCAATCAAACTCAAACGATCAAATTACCTCCCCTGGCGTGCTTTATTTGCCCCAGTTCTGCGCAGGTATAAGCTTCTTGGCATCATTGATGGTACCAAAGTCTGTCTATCACCTCTTCTTCCTGATATCTCTCTTAATCCTGCTTTTGAGATTTGGTATGAGAAAGATCAGAATCTTCTCATCTGGTTGAATTCTACTCTGTCTGAAGAAGTGATTCCTTTCACCATCGATGTCTCATCGTCTTGGGACTTATGGCTCAAGCTTGAGCAGCGCTTTGGAGGAGTTTCTGATGCTCACATTCATCAGTTACGCTCTCGCCTCCAGTCAATTCAGAAAGGTTCATAGTCAATTTTTGATTATCTACAACAAATCAACGAAATTTTCGATGCTTTAATGGCGACTGGTGTTTCTGTCACCGATTGTGACCTAATTATCGCTACACTGGCTGGCTTACCTGATGAGTTCGAATCCTTTACTGACTCACTTCTTCTTCGCATCTCCACCACAACTCTGGATGAATTACATGGCTTACTGTTCACCAAAGAACTATCAATGTCTCGAAGGAAGAAAGTTGTATCCTCGAGCACTATAGAGCCTTTTTATGCCTTTTGACACACGCCGACCCGGGCCCCCACCACATCCCAGGCTCGACTTTACCGTAGCACGATATTGTCCGCTTTGGGCTGCAACCACGCCCTCACGATTTTGTTTTTGGGAACTCACACGAGAACTTCCCAATGGGTCACCCATCCTGGGAATGCTCTCGCCCGAACTCGCTTAACTTTGGAGTTCCGATGAACTCTGAAGTTAATAAGTTCCCAAAAGGCCTTGTGTTAGGTAGAGATGAGAATATACATATAAGGCTTACAGGATTCACTCCCCTGAGCGATGTGGGATGTTACACCTTTGCCATTCAATCACATTCTCCTCTCTTGCCTACACCACCACCGTACCAAGCATTCGTTGTTCAACCCCAACCTCATCGTGGACATTACCGCAGCAATCATCGTGGAAACTATAGAGGAACTGCTCGTGGTCATCATGGTAATTACAAAAGTAATAATTTCTGTGGCAATTCTCAAGGCTTTTGTGGCAACCCTTAAGGCTCTGGTGGTCTTAATTGTCAAATATGTGGATCAACCAATCATGAGGCTATTGACTGTTTTGATCGAATGAATCCGAATATTTTTGGCAAAGTTCCTCTAGCCAAACTCGCTACTATGTGTGCACATTTTTCATCCAAGTTCTCTTCTTCTTGGCTCATTGATTCGGGTGCTACTTCACATATTACAAATGACATTTCTAGCATTTCATCTCCTACTCCTTATCATGGTGAAGACAAAGTCTACATTGGTGATGGTAAATGTTTGACAATTAGCAACATTGGTTCTTCCTTTTTACATACTTCATCTGCTACATTTAAATTGCAAAATGTTCTTCATGTTCCACAAATAAAGCACAATTTACTCTCTGCATATCAATTTCTCAAGGATAATTATCGTTCTTTGACACTTAATTCTGATGGATCCATTGTAAAGGATTGTTCTACGGGAAAACACTTTTGCGAGGACCGGTTAAAGATGATTTTTATCCCTTGTAATGTTCATCCCAGTCACCTACAAGCTCTGCTACTTCAACCATAGCCTTAATAAGTGTCATAGCACCTGTTCCAGTTTGGCACAGTAGACTTGGCCATCCCTCTTCATCAATTTTCAAGCGTGTTCTTTCAATGAATAAGCTTGCTCTTCAAGGACGAACTTCAGTGGATTTCTTTTGTTCCAACTGTGCTCCTGCAAAAATTCACAAGCAATCGTTTAGTCCTGTTAGTTCTACTTCTTCTTCTTGTTTAGAACTTGTACATTGTGATCTCTAGGGTCCAGCTCCTGTTATGTCTGTGAGTGGTTATAGGTACTATATGTTGCTTATGGATGACTATAGTAAATACAGTTGGTTCATTCCCTTACAGACAAAATCTGCAGTGTATTCTGTATTTGTTGAGTTCAAGAGTTATGTAGAAAATCTTCTTAGCAATAAAATAAAAGTCCTTCATTCTAATTTAGGGGGTGAATTTACTAGCTCTGCATTACAGAATTTTCTCAAAACTCATGGTATTATACACCAATTTAGTTGTTCGTACACACTTGAACAGAATGGTTGTGCAGAAAGGAAACATCACCAGAGACTACTTGAACCCTCTTGGTTGCTTCTCATGTGCCTCATGTTTTCTGGGTAGAGGCTTTTTCCATTGCTATATACTTGATTAATCACCTTCCAATCTCTGGCTTAATGCAATCACCCTGGGAATTATTGTTTCATACTCAACCCGATTACAGTCGACTGAAAGTATTTGGTTGCAGTTGTTTTCCATGGCTTAAACCTTATACAACTTCCAAACTAGACAACAAAAGTAAGTACTATGTGTTCTTGGGTTACAGTCTTCAACATAAGGGATATAGGTGCTTGGATCCATTGACACAGAGGGTATATATATCTCGTCATGTTGTTTTTGATGAATCTACTTTTCCATTTCATCACTCTCAACCATTATCCTCGAGTCAACCATTGTCCTCGACTACTTCTCAGTCTACTGTAATATCTTCAGTTGATTTGCAATTTACTGTTCCCCATTCTTCCAGATCTTCTACTAATGTTG